GGAGTAAGCGGCCTCTCAATGACAAGTTCTTCATATGGAGCTTGGCGAATTTGCCAGACTGTGAACAGTGTAAGCTTGGCTTAGAGGAAACGGCTTCGCACGCCTTCTACCATTGTCCCCTGGTTCACCCCTTATGGGACCATGTCGGCGAGCTGACGGCTCGTCTCGCACCCGAGAAGCTCGTGCCCATTGATCGCACATAAGCGTGTGACAATGTGTCGCCCCCGTATTCCGGGGTGAAACAGATGGTGTTTCTGACGCTGCTGGCCACGGCCCGAATGGTGATTTAGACGTCGCGACAGGAGGAAGTCTTGCGGGGTATCCGTCTTTCTCATCAGGATCTGATCCGATTCAGATGAAGATTAGAACTGATAGAAAACGCTTGCATTCGACAGTCTTCAGCGAAAGGTGGGTGACTGAGGCGAGCTTGGTTTCTCTTTTAGGTTACATCGGGGTAGTTTCCTGTGGAGTCCTCCCCTTGGTTAAGTTAGACAAGCTTTTGTGTACCTAGTTAATGTAAGTGTTGTTCCCGGCCTGTCCCCGGCAACATCTTTGGTTATGATCCAGCTTGAGATTCCTAACCCCACCCCTTTTTTATCTCGTCTGGGTCAGCTTTATATTTTTCCATGCCCGTATGATTTTTTATCCCTTTCTCACTCCCTTAGCGAGAGTGCTCCTTGATTTTGTCCAAATGGGCAGAATACAGCGGCCTCTCATTTTTGAGGATTGATTGGTGACGGACGAGTTCTTATGGTGAATGTGGAAACTGTAATCTATGAATGGGTCGTAATCGGATTAGCTAGGTATAGGATAGGTAGTGAAAACCAGAATCAACCCCTCCCCTTTTTCGGCCATGTGCCATAATTGTATTTCTTAATACAATAAATATAGTCAGAACCTTCATTATGTTTATTATTTTCTCTTCGAGATACATGCGCTTTTATTTTAGGCTACTAACTGGGATATATATATATATATATATATATATATATATATATATATATATATATATATATAAACCTAGTGAGCCATAAACTACCTACCAAGGTTTTCACCTAACGGTGAAGGGTACTACTGGCTCAAGCTAAAGCCAGAAGTACTCTGAAGACCCAATAGTACCCTGAAGATCCGTTAGGTGAAATCTTGGTAGGTAGGTTCTGGCTCACTTGGATTTTTACATCTTGCTCTACTTAATGTATTGAGCACTTTTAAGTTTTACTTAATTTACTCGGTCGGTGCTTTTTCTTTTGGCTAGGCATTGCGGTGCTGATTGATTATTTTCAACCAACACGGATGCCTTTAGTCTTTTCTTTTTTACTGATTTTGTCCCCTGATATCGGTTTGTTCAAATATATTTTTATTTACAAATTGTATTATTAGTTTTTTTTTCACACCATATTATAGTATATATATATCAAAATAATATATTATATATATATATATATATATATATATATATATATATATATATTGTGTATTTAGGCAGAAGTCCCTCTTTTATACATGTTTTATTGAAAACGACTGGCAAAGTACTGCAAGTGAGGTTTTTATTTAATTTTTCTTGTGTTCGTATAAGTGTTTTCACTTCTGCACATAAAGTTTGTAGAAAATGTTCCATATTCCCGAGTGCTTTCGTCTATTCTATTAACCACTATCAAGGATTTTTTTTTTTTGTAACTGAACGTGTGGATTTTTTAAACGTTTATCGAGTGATGGCAATGTTTTTTTTTTTTAATTTTCTAAACACGTTCATATATATATATATATATATAGACAGAGAGAGAGAGACAGAGAGAGAGAGAGAGAGAGACGGTGATAGATAGATAGATAGATAGATAGATAGATAGATATACAAGGACACAGTTATTGTAATAAAAAAACGTATTGAAGCAGCCATCGATGTTAATGGCGGATACATTAAGCAGATGTGTCAAGAAAAGTCTCAAGATTAATCATACCATTTTTTCTCAAATAAAACTCTTCTTTCATAGCTTATCGTAATTCCTCATGTATAATACGCCTCCATCCATAATACACACACCTAAAATTGTGCTGAAAATGTGGGAAAATGCTTCTACTTAAGCGTAATATGCAACCCTTCTTTGCCAATCAAATCCTATAAATTACACGTCACCAATTTCATTACGACCTCTGTTTCCTACTTTTATTTAAAAATGGTTTTAAACATTAAATAATATTATTCTAATTTAGTTTTATGACAATACTTATTTTATTTTAAGGTAATTTTTAAAAGATTGTTTGTAGCTATGGATAATACGCACCTTTGATTATGCGTACTATTTTTAGAAAAAATATGTATTATACATGAGGGATTACGGTATGCGGTTTTTATTTAATCCATGCAAATGCCATCAAAAACCTGAGTAACCTTCCAAAGACGTTGTCTAATTCATCACCTCGGTTGATGGTAACCTTGACGCTCGGGTATAATAATAATAATAATAATAATTTTTTAATCAAAAACAATGACAGCAAAATAGATATTTGCCTGTAATATATTTCATAACCTACTGTTGCTTTATTGAAAGCGTAATGACTTATTAGGACTCCTTCTTTCTCTATGTACTGGATCCCCTCATGACGTAGGCGTTCATGGCACCCTATCCCTTTTATCCCCTTGAGGAACCTCCTCCACCCGTTTTCAGTATCTATTCACACAAGAACGTCAAAGAGGGGGCACGCTGCCTTGCCCTGTTCCCGTTGCCGTCAATATGGTAATGACAGGATTAACCGTTCCTCTAAATGCAAACATTTGCATTCATTGACAACGGAACCAGTACTGCTTTTGGCTGAAGTTCATAAAATCATTCTCTGGAAACAATGTTTCAGGAAAATAAGTTTTTCCAGCTTAGTAGCTGTTATCGCTCCTTCCTGTATTGACGGGCGTCCTAGGTAAGACGATAAACTACGTCCGGCAGCAAGGCCTCTAATCAGGAGGTTTTGACGAAAGTGAAACCACCTCTTAATTGCTGGCGTTCCCAGGTCCACCCTGACCCGGAGTGGTAGTACCTGTTAGGGCCCCAACTATGGGCAAATAGTTAACACTTAAACTGGGGTTAAAACAGTATGAAAGTGTAAAAATAGGTTTTAATACCAGCAATAAATTTTTGAAGAAATTATTATTACTAGCAATAGATTTTTGAAGAAAATAAATATTACTAATAATACATATTTGGAAATAATATTACCAGCAATAAAAATTTTGTCGGCATTAAATAACCCATTGAAGTTGATATGCTGTAAAACAAAACAAACCAAACCAATATTTACTTAGATAGATAGATAGATAGATAGATAGATAGATTAGATAGAAAATATAACTAGCAATAAAAAATCTTGTCGGCATTAAATAACCCATTGAGGTTGATATCTTAATTATCTTAATTAGGTAATTATTTTGCCTTCAAGTTACATGTGCTATCCATTTTAGTTGTTGCTACTGTTGGTAGTCCTCAAGTGAAGTGGTTTCTGTTATTTGGTACAGTTATTTGTTTGCGTCTAATGACAATCTTTGAAAACAGCGGAAATTAACTGGTTGCAAGTAGAAACTTATAAGAACAGATTTAATTAGAAACCTCTAAATAATACTATAATTTGTTGAAAATCCCATACGTAATTCTAGATTTAAAGGTTGACATTAATGGAATTATTAGACGTTTCCCTACACGGATACATTTGGCATTCATTGACCGAGCAACCAATACTGATTTCGGTTTAAGTTTATAAAATCTTTTGCTAAAATTAATTTTTCTGGAAAATAGAATTTTCAAATCCAGTAGATGTTATCGCTCTTTCCAGTACTGATGATGGTTTACTTCCTAATCTTCTATTTGATGTAGTTTGGAATATTAACATCTTGATTACGTCATTACTTTCTCTTCGAGTAGTTTCCGTTATTTGGTACAGTTCTTTGTGATTTCTTTAGCGCCATTTCACAATGGTCAAAGAAGGGCGGTCAATGCCAAGACCCTCAGATTTCAATCATTCAAAACGTTTTTGAACCATTGAAACCCATTCTCCATTATGCGTTCAAGAAAATTTTGTTAGCTTCCTGATTCGAAGTGTCCTTTTTGCTTCTATTTTCCTTACGACTTCCTCGTTGTATACATGCTCCGTCCATAGTATTCTCAGTATCCTTTTGTAGAACGACATTTCTGTTGTCTCCAATTTTCTATTTCAGTGTAAGGAGATTGAATCATTTTATTTTAAATCATCGCCAGCTGCGATCCAAGTCTTGATCTTTTATGCGATGCCAATAGATAATTCAATAATAATATATTTGGGAACAATTACGTTTTTGCGGTAAAGCTGTGTAAAAATGAATACTTTTGATATGGCCTCATGAGTTAAAATATTATGAATTGCATTATGCTTTTACAATCGTATCCGTTGAAATTGAGTAGTATATAATGGGTTGGAGAATCTCTTTGAGAAAAAAGCTGGTTTTTTTTTTTTTTTTTTCAATCAGAAAGCTCTTTCAATTTCGCTTAATAATCCAATAAACAAAAGCAAACCTTTCCTTTATTACATGATTAGCTTTTGCCTTCTTTAAGTGTCCTATATTTTCGTGGTGGCGGTGCGGGGGGGGGACTTTGATTTCTGCCGTTTTTATGTCTATTTTTCTTTCTTAATCCTGCTTTATTTTCTCATTTGTTTGTCTCGTCTTTAAATGAACAAAAACTGAAGCAAAATATAAAGATTACCTTTTCTTTTTCAATTCTTTTATTTTTCACATTTGTTATTTTTTTTTTTTTTTTTTTCTTTCTTCCTTTCTTCACATATACAACGTTTTTTTTTCTTTTTTTGGTCAGCGTTATCTTGAGAACTTTTAATGATTAGTTGCTTACTTATATTAGTGAATCATTTTACTTATGATTATAGCTACGTGATGCAAATAATAGTGTATTATTTTAAAAAAAATACATCTCAATAACCAATATAAACTTTTTAAAACAATCTGTCATGGATATTATTGCCAAATGTCGTTTCACCCTCTCTCTCTGTTCTTTCTGTCTGTCGTTCACTCTCTCTCTCTGTTCTTTCTTTTTGTCACTCTCTCTCTCTCTGTTCTTTCTTCCTCTCTCGCTCACTGTTCTTTCTTTCTGTCGCTCTTTCTCTGTTCTTTCTTTCTGTTGCTCTCTCTGTCCTTTCTTTTCTCGCTCTTTTTCTCTCTCTCTCTCTCTCTGTTCTTACGTTCGCTCTCTCGCTCACTGTTTGTTCTTTCTCTCGCTCTGTTTCTGTTCTTTCTTTCTCTCTCACGCTCTTCTTTTTCTCACTCTCTCTCTCACTCTCTCTCGCTTTCTATCCGTGATTTCTCTTCCTCTTTCTCTCTCTCTCTCTCTCTCGCATGCGCGCTCTCTGTACTTTCTTTCTCTCGTTCTCACTCTCTGCCTATTCTTTATTTCTCTCTCTCTCTCTCTCTGTTCTTTCTTCCTCTCTATTTCCTTTCTTTCTTTCTTTCTTTCTTTCTTTGTTATTTCTTTCTCTCGGTTTTTTCTTTCTTGCTCTCTCTCCCATTTCTTTCTCTCGCTCTCTCTCTGTCTTCTTTCTTTCGCTCTTTCTCTGTTCTTTCTTTCTCACTCTCTCTCTCTCTCGCTCTCTCTTTCTCTCGCTCTCTCTCTGTCTTCTTTCTTTCGCTCTTTCTCTGTTCTTTCTTTCTCACTCTCTCTCTCTCGCGCTCTCTCTTTCTCTCTCTCTCTCTCTCTCTGTCTTCTTTCTTTCGCTCTTTCTCTGTTCTTTCTTTCTCACTCTCTCTCTCACGCTCTCTCTTTCTCTCGCTCTCTCTCTCTGTCTTCTTTCTTTCGCTCTTTCTCTGTTCTTTCTTTCTCACTCTATCTCTCGCGCTCTCTCTTTCTCTCGCTCTCCCTCTTTTCTTTCTTTCTCTCTCTCTCCCTCTCTCTCTCTCTCTGTTCTTTCTTTCTGTCGTTCTCTTTCTGTTCTATCTTTCTCCCTTTTTCTCTCTGATCTTTCTGTCTTTCACTCTCTCTTACTCTGTTTTTTTCTCTTTCTCTGTTCTTTCTTTCTCTCGCTCTCTCTCTATTCTTTCTTTCTCTCGTTCTCCTTTCTTTCACTCTCTCTCGCTTGGGTCTCTCTCCCTCTCTCTGACTTCGTCAATCTCACACGCTCTGTCTCTCTCGCTCGCTTTTTTCTCTTTCTCGCTTTTCTTTCTCTCTTGCTGTTATTTCTCTCTCTCGCTCTTCTTTCTTTCTCTCTCCCTCGCGCGCACTCACTCTTCTTTCTCTCTCTCTCACACTCTCTCGCTCTTCTTTCTCTCGCTCTCTCTTTCTCGCTCTTTCTCGCTTTTATTTCGTTCTCTCTATCGCTGCTTTTCTCTCTCTTTCTCTCTCTCTCTCGCTGTTCTTTCACTCTCTATCTCTCTCGCTCGAACTCTCTCGCCCGCACTCTCTCGCTGTTCTTTCTTTCTCTCTCTCACACTCTCTCTCTCGCACACTCCTTCTCTCGCACTCTCGCTCTCTCGCACACTCTTGTGGCTCTTTCTGTCTTTCGTTCGCTGTTCTTTCTCTCTGTCGCTCGCATTCTCTTTCTCTCACTCTCTCTCTTTTTCTTTCTGTAATCTCCCTGCTATTTCCCACTCTCTCTGTTTTCTTTCTCTCTCTCTCTATCTCCCTCTCTCTGTTTTTACTCTGGTCTTCCTTTCCTATAATTTTCTAATCAGTTTTCTTTGTGTTATTTATATTAATGGGCTTTGTTCTTCTTGCTTTTTGTTTCTACTATAAATCCCATATATTTTCTGACCCATTGTATCTCTTATTTGCCTGTGCGTCTCATGTGAAAACATATATTATTATATGTCCAGTAACCTACAAATATCTTTGAGACAAGTTCCATTACTTCAATGATAATAGTCAAGACGTTCACTTTTATCATCCTTGCTTTGGTTTCTCTTGGAGATATCATTATTAAATCCAATGACAAAAAAGAAAAAAAAATGGATAAAAATAAAAATAATTACTGTGAATCAGTCAAGAAAATAAGTTTTATTGTGCTTTTTGTTTTTTCTTCGATATGCCTGATTAAAATTGTTCTGGACCCAATATTATTTCATTTGGCGTTTTCAGACTTCGATCTATTATCTATTTCCATTATCGCCCGCCGTTTCATATTTCTTCATCGGTAGTAACATTAAATACTGATGTCAGTAAAAAAAAAAAAAAATAGGGCATATATATATATATCATTTTTCAACTGCAACAGTCGTTCAGCCACAGCATTCTGGATTTTTAAAAACACGCAAAAAACTTGCATTATTTACATTATTCGAACTGTTATCCTCATCTTCATTGCCATACTCACAATATTACAGCCGTTGTACGCCCAGGCCTTGGAATTTTGAACTAAACCCTTTATTTCGTCAACCGGGGTAGATTGTTCTAGTTTCACGTGACATGCCTCTTCCGGATGTTATTTCCATTAAACTCAACTCTCTAAGTTTTCGTCCACCACTGCTGTGGCCGGGTATTGAACTCACAACTCTTTGGGTCTAATCACTGGATCTAACTAACGTCTATATCCACTGGACCATGTGTCATTGAGGACACATGGTCCAGTCGATAAACGTTGTAAATATGGCAATGAAGATGAGGATAACAGTCAGAATAATGTAAATAATGCAAATAATCATAATACCTCATCTGAGAAGGCCGGAGCGTACAATGGCCGAAATGTTGTGAATATGGCAATGAAGATGAGGATAATAATCCGAATAATGTAAGTAATCATAATACCTCATCTCAGAGATCCAATCACCTGAAGGAGGTCAGAGCGTACAACAGCCGAAATGTTGTGAATATGGCAATGAAGGTGAGGATAACATTCCGAATAATGGAAAATCATGCAAGTAATCATAATACCTCATCTCAGAAATCCAATCACCTGAAGAAGGCAGGAGCGTACAACGGTCGAAACGTTGTGAATATGACAATGAAAATGAGGATAACATAATTTAATTAATGCAATTAATCATAATATCACATCTCAGAGACAGACGCAAAAAACGTTGTGCATTCTTTTATAAAATAAGACTAGTGTAGGAGTTAACGAAATTGAATATAGCATAGTTTGTACTAAATCTCTAGTCATGTTCTTAAATAGCCACATCAGATTTAGACTTTTATATGGACACCATGCGTGAAGGCAGACTCGTTCAGAAATACCTAAACTGTCACTTATTTACAACCGTTTTCACAGATCGATCGTGAAAACAGGCGTCGATCGAGCATGCCCCAGCAAAGACCATCCTTCATAGAACCTCGTGAACTGGCGCTACAGAATCACAAACAAAGAACTCTATCAAATAAGAGACGTCACTTTACTTGAGGACTTTCAACAACAGCATCAAAAATTCCACCATAAACGAAACACTGTCGGTTATGAGATGATAACCTAATTAAACATCAGATCTGCCTTTGTTGGCTGATTAATAATTCATAGCGGCGAAGTACTTTTCGAACACCCTTATAGATAGTGTGGGCATGGGAATCAATATTTCATGGTGGGTGTCAGATGCACGCTTCAACGCCATCTTCAGACGACGTGCCACTACACCTTTAGTGGATTGTGTATTTAGGTCACTGGGGAATTATGGACAGATCGAGATGAGGAAACCTACTCTACACACTGTTTTTGTTGTTCACAGCTAATATTGAAAGTTCTATGAGAGAATGCAAGAAAGGATGCTGAAAAATTCTTGGCCCGACCCACCAAAATCTATCAAAACATAAATATCTTTTGTAATCTCTTCCATTGGTCAGGCCGATAACTTTTCAATAGTCCACATCTGTGTCCCTGATTCGATCTGTTTTCTATCTGGTCAGTAGCTACTGTCCTTTCCAAAGCGGCAGTCGAACCTTTTGGTGAATCATAAGAGTCTCCATCTTTTCTTCCGGTTGCGAAAAGGAATTTCGACTTCAAAGAATCGCAACAAAGGCCAAGCGACGTAATCCAATAACAAATGAAATTAGTGTACATCTGCGAAGACATTTAAAAAAAAGAAAAGAAAACTAAAACACTGAATATGAAATTGTAAAAAAAAAAAGGAAAAAGAGAGATAGAGAGAAACAACAGCAAAAAAGAAAGAAATCGGAAAAAGAAAGGAAGGGAAAATATAGAGAGAGGAATGAAAACGAAGAAAGAAAAAGATAAAATGGAAAAATAAAGATGAATCATGAAAGGAAAAAAAAAGGAAGATTGGTCAATTAAAAAAGAACGAATTAACATTTTTAAAATGAAAGTTTACAAACAAAAAAAACGATGAAGGAAGAGCTCAGGAAAAAATTGTAGGTAGGAATGAAAATAAGGAAGGAAATAAAGAAGGAAATAAAGAAGGAAAATAAGGAAGGAAAATAAAGAAGGAAATAAAGAAGGAAAATAAGGAAGGAAAATAAGGAAGGAAAATAAGGAAGGAAAATAAAGAAGGAAATAAATGAGGAAATAAAGAAGGAAAATAAGGAAGGAAAATAAGGAAGGAAATAAAGAAGGAAATAAAGAAAACGTGAAAGACAAGCAAAAGAAATAAAAAATAATGAAGAGAGAAAAGAAAAAAAAGGAGTTAAGCGTAGGAAGAAAAGTGAAAAAGGAAAGACAATATTTCTTTTTTTTATTCTTTTTCTTTGTTCTTTTATTTTATTTTTTGTTTGATTTTTTTCTTTTTATTCTTTTTTATTCGTGTTTATTCCTTTTTTATTTCTTCTTTTTATTGTTTTTTTCTTTTTTATTCTTTCTTTTTCTTTTTTATTCTTTCTTTTTCATTTTATTCGTTCTTTTTCTTTTTGTTCGTTTTTTCTTTTTTATTCTGTTTTTCATTTTTTGTTCATTCTGTTTTTATGTTTTTTATTTTGTTTTTTATTGTTTCTTAATTCTATTTTCTTCTTTCTTCTGTTTTTTCTGTTTTCTCTTTTATTTTCTTCTTCTAGTTTCTTTTTTTTATTCTGTTTTGCTCTTTTTACTGTTTTCTTTTTCTTTTTCATTCGTTTTTTTGTCTTGTCTTTCTCGCGTGTTTTTCGTTTTTTAATTTTTTCTTTTTTAACTAAAGAGGAAGCGAAGTTTTAATAAAGAAACAATAACTAGAAAAGAGGCATCAAGAAAGAAAAGTATGTAAAGTAGTTATGAAGAAAAAACAAAGTGAGTGGGAAAAGTAAGAACGGAAAGAAGGAAAGAAAGAAAAAAAGAAAGAAGGAAAATTACGAAAGAAGAAGAAGAAAATATAATAATAATAATAAAGCAACTGGGATACTCCAAAATTAAAGAGGAAAAGGAAACTGCTGCCAGAACGGTAAAAACGTCAAATTGATTGAAGAAATAAGATGAGTGGGTCGGTGAGAGTAGATGGTGCGCGGATACTGATTGAGTTACGATTTTGCGCGGTGGGGGGTGGGAATGGTTGCAGTGATGGAGAAGATGAATGTTCAACAACGCACCTGATCTCTCTTTTTGAGCCATTGATCTTTTTATCTAATCGGAAAAAGGGGCAGGTAACTGAGTTAGCCAGGGCTTTTGCAGCTGAAAAGCGACAGATGGTCTTCATCCTTAGCTTGTTTACGTGGAACAGTTTTTAGTGGGTGTCGAAAAGTTCGGGGGGTGGTTAGAGAAGGAGACGAGCGAAATGAAGAAAGCTGTCGCTTGCCCGTTTACTTCTATTTATAAAAGAAAGAAAGTGAACGAAAAAGGGTGTGTACATGTGTGTGAGAGAAATAGAGAGATGGAAAAAGAATACGTACAGGTATATGTTAAGTATTGCATGCGTGTGTGTGTGTGTGTGTGTGTGAGAGAGAGAGAGAGAGAGAGAGAGAGACAGAGAGAGTGAGAGTACTGAAAAAAGAAAGTATAGTGTGTGAAAGAGACGGTGCACATAACAAAATGCGTGCGTGTTTCTATAACAATATGTGAATTTGTTTGCATGAGAGTGACTGCATATTTGTCTCCGAGAGTATATTTATTGAGTACATCTCTGCGAACGAGAATGCATCTCTGTGAATGTTCGCACGCGTGCGAGATAGAGCTTTAGTGTGTAAGAGAGAACACGTACAGGGACAAAACAGAAAACAAACGTGCTCCCATTGTATCTAATCGTAAAATATGGATGATCCCTTTCAAATACAAGAATATGGTCCTTGCTGCCTCTGAACACGTACAGGGACAAAACAGGAAACAAACGAGCTCGCATTGTATGTAATCATACACATGCATGATCCCTTTCAGATAAAAGAATGTGGTCCTTGCTGCCTCTGAACACGTACAGGGACAAAACAGGAAACAAATGAGATCCCATTGTATCTAATCGTACACATGCATGATCCCTTTCAGATAAAAGAATGTGGTCCTTGCTGCCACTGAACACGTACAGGGACAAACCAGGAAACAAATGAGCTCCCACTGTAAGTAATCGTACATATGCATGATCCCTTGTAGATAAAGAATATGGTCATTGCTGCCTTTGAACACGTATAGGGACAAAACAGGAAACAAACGAGTCCCTTTGTATGAAATCGTATATAAGCATGATCCCTTGCAAATACAAGAATGTGTTCCTTGCTGACTCTGAACACGTACAGGGACAAACCAGGAAAAAATGAGCTCGCATTGTATGTTATCGTACATAAGCATGATCCCTTTCAGATACAAGAATGTGTTCCTTGCTGACTCTGAACACGTACATGGACAAAATCGGAAAGAAATGAGCTCGCATTGTATGTAATCGAAATATTCATGATCCCTTTCAGATACAAGAATGTGTTCCTTGCTGACTCTGAACACGTACATGGACAAAATCGGAAAGAAATGAGCTCGCATTGTACGTAATCGAAATATTCATGATCCCTTTCAGATACAAGAATGTGGTCCTTGATGCCTCTGAACAAGTACAGGGACAATACAGAAAACAAACGAGCTCCTATCTTAAACTCTTCAAGTCTAGGCTGAACCGTTATCTATCCTACCTATCCTCATTTTTTTACGCCCCTCTTTTGCTCATACAACAACTTCATTCAGTAGATCTCTGTCTTGAGTGACTCTTGTGCCTTGTATTGTTTAAATGTTATAAATATCATTTGAATAAGCGTTATTATCTTGATAACTTGAGTGGCTCTCGTTATCTTTGTTGTTGATGTCATTACGCATGCAGGTTTAATTTTTGATCGGATTTTTTGTCCGACGTTATTTCTTTTTAATATCAACGTTATTTTTAGTGGTTTCACGTGTTTGAGCTGTTATGACTTTTTTCTTTATTTTCTTAAACAGAGAACATAATGTCTACCAGCTTGGTAGAGAAGATTTATTAAAGAAAACTTGTACCCCCGAAAGGAATCGAACCTGCATCACTCCGAACACGTGTACCCACATTTATAATATAACAAACACTTGAATAATAAAAAGAAAAATAACACAAAAAGTATTTTATGGCGCACTTGATCGAAGACTTTTGCACCCAAGGGGTGTGATAAAACACATCAATGGACTGACAGAAATAGTAGTTAACCATAACATATTTGGGAAGGATATTAGAATAATCCGGAGCATACAACAGAATCAAACAACCTGCATACGGATAGAAAATAAGTTCAGTAAATACACATTATTCGGATTATTGTCCTCGTCTTTGTCGCCATATTTATCACAACGTTTTGTCCATTGTACGGTCCGGCCTTCTTCAGGTAGTTAAAATGTCGAACTGAATCCTTTATTTCGCTCGCTGGGGTAGACTGTTCTAGTTCCACGTGCCATGTTGAATGGATGTCAGTTATCTGTTAATTCCCGTCTCCAAGTCCCCACCGCCTAAACCAGGTATTGAACTCATACTCTTTTGATCCTGACATTAACGCCTTTATCTATTGTGCCATGTGTCCTTGATAGACAGATACTGACCAAATATTATATTCAAATAAAATCATTTATGAACTACGTGTTTCTTTTAAGAACCCTATTACTTCCGAACGTATCCGAACATGGATCTCCATGATCTCTTCTCGTTTCTGTCAATATTTCTGAGATGAGTTATAATATACACTATTTACATTATTCAGACTATTGTCCTCATCTTTGTCGCCATATTTATCACAACGTTTCGGCAACGTTGTACACTGCGACCTTTTTCAGGTGGTTGGAATGTCGAACTGAACCGTTTATTTCGCTCACTGTGGTAGACTGTTCTAGTTCCACGTGCCATGCCTAATGGATGCCAGTTATCCGTTATCTCCTGTTATTTCACCTCTCTAAGTTCTCCACTGTCTTAACCAGGTATTGAACTCACACTGTCACTGGATCTAACCAACGCCTTTATCCACTGTGCCATGTGTCCTTGAGGATATCTGTGTATGAATTTCTGGGACTTATAAATTAATGTCTTTAACAAACATTTTTACCAGAGCTCATATTGCAATTTTAGTTGTTATTATTGCGTTTCTCTAGTATCCCTGGGAGCGAAATAAAGGGTTCTGTTCGACATTCCAACCACCTGAAGTAGGCCGAAGTGTACAACGGTTAAAATGTTGTGATAAATATGGCAACAAAGATGAGGACAATAGTTCGAATAATGTAAATAGCGTACATAAGACCTCATCTTAGAAATATAGACATATATACAAAAGCATAGAAATGAATACAATATGGGAACCAGTAATACGAAGTGCTAGAGAAAATCAATGAATAGCAACAAAAATTGCGATATGAGCTCTGGTAAAAAATAATGCTTACTGAGACATTACGTTTATAAACTCCAAAAATTCATACATTGATGTCTTCCCAGTGGATAAAAGGGATTGGTTGAATCCAGTGACTTGACCTGAGTTCAATACCTGGCTACTGCAGTGGTGAACAAAAACTTGGCATGGCACGTGGAACTAGAAAAAAATTACGAAATGAGGGGTTCAGTTCGAAATTCCAATCACCTGAGAGTTCAATGGCCGAAACTTCGTGAATATGGTAATAAAGATGAGGACAACAGTCCGAACAATGTAAATAATTACAATAGCTCATCTCAGAAATATAGACAGATATCAATCCTCCCGTATGTCAGATGAAGAAACTTGAAGCAACAGAAATAGGGTCCTACAGAAGGATGATGAGAATACCGTGGATTGGATGAGCAATGTTCTAGAGACAATGGAATAAAATATAGACTTTACATCAGAAAGAGACAGTTAAGATCTCTAGGGCATATAATGAGGAAAGAGGGCTTAGAAAATCTGATTCACACAGGAGATACTGAAAGCAAGAGGTACAAAGGAAAACAACGCATAAACTACCCAGCGAGCTTGAGTAAATGCTTTAGAAGAAAGAACAATAGAAGTGCTACAAAGGACAGGAAGTTGTGGAGAGCCTGAACCACGGAAGTACGGTTAGATTTAGGACGGAACCCTTTCCCAGAGTGCATTACATAATACGAGAGTACAAGCCTAATGAGAAAAAGCGAGATAAACAAAAGTTTGTTTGACATTGTTATAACTTTTACCAGAAATTACCGAATCAGGCGAGGCATAATCGATTTTTAGATCCTTATTGATTTTTGATTGTGTTTGTAGGTCTGTTGGGGTAGAGCAGAGAGGGTCTTTCAAATTTCAGCAACCAGGAAACAAATATTCAGAGTGCATTCCCGCCACAACCATTTTCCTATGATTAATAATGGATTACTTTATGGCAATTAATTAATTAGCAAATCAGTTATTTAATTAACGATTGTATATTAATTAATGCAATTATCATTAGTCATGTCAGAATATTTGACTGTGATTACAGTCAGGAGTTAATTAGGGTATAATGGAAGCTTAGTTTGGACCTACAGGAATACTTCCTTTTTAGCACGACTTAGTGTAAAAGTGATTCACTTACACGCACTTTTTCGCCTATGTTGAATTTCCGAAATAGTTATACTATAATAATTGCTGATTGTGCGTTCCCGAATATTCATGTCTCCTAGGGGTGGGGACTAGCTAGGCCCTTATGTAAACGCAGGAGACAAACAGTGATTTATACTGCGACTATGATGAGTTACAGATTTCAAGAAAGAGATAACCTAACTAGGCGTGGTCAGTATTTAAATAGGGACAGTACACTCAAAGCAACATTCTGAAAAGACACACAAAAGAAGCAGAACCTTTTTTAATATGATGTTCTGGTAGCTCAACAGTTATCGGCGTCGAAATTGGAATCGGCGAGCCGGGATCAAATCCAGTCGTTGCTAGCTGTATTCGCTTTCGCACAAACGCTATTTGTGGATGGAACACGAATCCATTTGTTCTCGCTCCCTCAGATTCTGGCTAAGCAACAGGATAAACTGGGCTCTCAACTGAATTCTAAGCCTTGGAAAACGCAAGCGGGAAACTACACCGTTATCTTTCCCAAGAAGGTGTCTAAAAAGAAAGGAAACTGCGGAGGGCCATGATTGCCTGTGTCTGAAAGAGACATGGACTCATAAAAATATTAAATCTATCAAAAGTACTGTTTTAATATATTTAATATCCACTCGTCCTTTCTTTGGCTAAATGCCTGTGGGTTTCAACAATCTTCTGGAAGACATCTGGGGTAATGGATAGGGCTCGGATTGAGGAATCGGAGTGCCGAGTTCGAACTCCACATGGATCCATTACATTCATTTATTACCCTTAGGAAAGGTATGAATTCTCTTTCTCCCCAGCTATGGGTAAATAGTAGGACAGACTGGGTTCCACATTCTTGGGTGGCAACCGGTCTAGAAGGAAAAACTTTGAATTCAAAATCGACCCCGGCTCCGTCAGTCTATGGGGCGCCCTTCTCGTTAGTTAATATACTTAGGGTGTCTTCCTCCTCCTCCTCCTCCTCCTCCTTCTCCTATTCATTCATTCTATCCGTCTATCCATCTACCCCGCTGTCTATCTACCCATCTGTCTGTTTATATATCTGTTTGTCTGTCTATCTATCTATCTATCTATCTATCTATCTATCTATCTATCTATCGTGATTTTATTTCACATACTTAGTATCTGCACACTATGCCTATCTATATTAATACCGCTTCAGATTGTCATTCTTCTAGATAGGTTACCAACCAAGGATAGAGAACCCCGTCTGCCCTGCTATTTCATCCATAGCTGGGAGAGATTTGTGCAAATTGAGTATAACGTACCCTACCTGAATTTGAACTTGACTCTAAATCTTAATAATGTAAACGTCTCAGTAATTAAATAATAATATCATAAATTAAAAACACTTAATTATTATGAATTAAATGTGTCTGACTATATTTCTGAGATGAGGTATTATGTACATTATTTACATTATTCGGACTATTGTTCTCATCTTTGTCGCTATATTTATTACAACGTTTCGGTCATTGTACACTCCGGCCTTATTATGTGCCCTAGAAATTTCAACTGTTTCTTTCTGATGTTAAGTATGTGTCCTTTTTGCTTCCATTTTCTCGAAAACTTAGTCGTTGCTCCCATGTTCGGTCCATGGTATTCTCAGCATCCTTCTGTAGAAGTACATTTCTGTTGCTTCAAGTCTCTTCTTCGTCTATGAGGAGATCGTCCAGCATTCGTTGACATACAGCGGGACTGATATCACGTAACAGGTCAGTAATCTTTTCTTTGTTTCTAACGAAGTTTCCTTTTTTTTAATATTCTGCTTAGCTTTTGAAAGACATCTTTCGTTATTCCAATGTGCCTTTATATTTCAATGGTGTACTTTCCGTCATCTGTTAAAATACTTTCCAGATATTTAAATTGCTCTATTTGATGGATTAATGTGCTCTTCCTTTTGTTAACAGCCATTAATTTAATACTAAAATCCGAAGCATACTATCAATGGTTTGCAAGATTTTCTGCTTTAAACATCATTATCTGTCCTCCTTTACGGCATCGAATGTTGGGCCCTCCTCAAAGACGAAGAAAAGACTCGACGCAACGGATGTATGGTTCTACAGAAGGATGCTAAGGATATCATGAACCGAGCGTGTGCGTAACAATGATGTTTTGGAGAGGAGGATGAAAGCAAGGAGGAAATTTATACTTAACATCTGGAAGAAGCAGCTAAAATTTCTGAGACACGTAATGAGAAAGGAGGGTTTGGAGAATCTGATACTCATGGGTCGTATAGAGGGAACGAGAGACAAGGGAAAGCGACGCATGACATACCTAGCGGGCTTAAGCAAGTGGATGACAGAAAATGACCTGAGGGGGGGAAGTAGCAAAAGGACAACACTTATTAAGAGCTAAAATGAATAAGGGGAAGTGGTGAGTTATGATCGCCGACGTCCTGAAGAGACACGGCACATAAAAAGAAGGAAAGACAACGAGATGCCGAATCAAGCTTAAGTGAAGATCATGTCTGACAGTGTCAAGCTAATTTGAATCTTTGGAATAATGGCTAAAGAAAATTCTTTTTTTAAGAAAAAATACTTTCTATTCACTTATAAAACGAATACCGTTCACCTTTTTGTTATTGCAGTATCCCTCATATCCGGAATCCCTAATATCCGGAATCCCTCATATCCGGAGTCTCACATATCCGTAATCTCGCATATCCGGACATGAAGTTGATGTGTATATGTGAATTATTTGGGTGATATGTAACTGATATGAAATTTCTGTTTTTTTAGGAAATTTACTTTGGATAATTGATTATGCTTATTTCACCCTAATGGCTTGTATTACTGCAAAAGATGATGGGAATAAGAGGAAAGGGTGACAACGAGACACATCTGCAACAAGATAGCGACGAGATGCATGATTGTGATGAAACCTGGACTAAAATTTAAAAAGCTATTGAAGAGGTTGTTAGTTTTCTGGAAAGAAAGCCAGCATTCAGCTATGACGATTGCAATAACACATGCAGAGTTTAAAAAAAAAGAGTCTCTCGTTTAAAAAAAATTCAAGAACAAAAGCAAAACGAAATGTGGAAAAAAGTTGAGAATGACATTAGAAGAGAAAGAATCATCACGCAACAGGGATTAAAAAATCCTCGTTGCATTATTTTAGCATACGTGGCATACTTAATTTAATAAATTTTAGTTAACATTACATTATTTGTTTTTTCCTTAAAATCAATTCCATTACATTTCAATCGCCATTAGCTTATTTTGTTTACTATAAAACACTGAAAATAAATGTTAAACCTGATTACAGTTCTTTTATTTTAATCTAAATATAACACCTCCTATCCGGTCTTTGTAACGAATTCTACATATCAGGAAGACCTTCTGAGTTCAGTTGTCAGGGATTCTACTCTATTTTGTAAATGTTAGAGTGCCACGTTTCAGGAAAAAAATATTATTTCCGAAATATTTTATTAAATAGTGTTTAACCCACATGGTTTTTCTATACAAATTTGACAATTTCTAATTCATCTGTCAATGTTAATATTTTTTCTAAAAATCTAGTTATCTATAGATTCAAGAAAGCATACATTTATTTGCTAGAAATTAAAACAAATCTTTTTCTTGAAAAATATTAAAAAAAAATATCTTTTGAATAAGAAAGCTCTGAGAAATATTTAAAACTAAGCTTTTCTTCCCAAAAGAATGCGTAAGCAGTTTCGAAAAATTAAAGCATTAGTGTTTTTGAAAGTTAAAAACCTTTGACAAGATAGACACAATAAAATCTTCTGTTTAAAAATGTATTAGCGCTCAATAAATTCTTGAAAACGAAAAGAAGCCTATATATGTTTATTTACGTATAGATATGAAGAAAGAGTGTGTATTTAAACTGCTTAAGACGGACCAGATGTAAAAGTTTTTGTTTTTTTTAAAGACAAAAAGAAAATATGTAAGTTATTTAAAATATGAATGCAGTCAAAATTATCCTTTTAAAATACTGACGAGCTCCATTATTTCTTTTCGAAATAAGTGGCCCTGATCTCGTCTGCAGTCGCTCTCTCACAGATGTGCCGTTGCCTCCCTCTGTCTTTTTTACAAATACGTTCACGGTAACTGCTCCGAGGAGATGTTTTCGCTGGTTCCTAAACTTCATGAATTTAAGCTTTCTACTAGGTTGGCATCTCACTCACACCCTTTCACTGTCGAAAATGTTAAATGTAGTTGTCTCTTCTACTCTAATAGCTTCATGTCTCGCACCTCTCGCCTGTGGAACTCCCCCCCTTTTCTTGTTTCCCTGATAGCTATAATCTCCAATTATTCAAATGTAATGTCAATCGACGTCTCCAGATGCCTTGCTCTATCCCTTATCCTTCTGTTCATCCTTTCCTCTATCACTCCTATTTGCTCTCGCTCCAACTCTCTGTAAACCCTTGTGTGCTAGTGGCTTCCCGCCTTGCTTGGGGTGAAACGTTTAAAAAAAATATTAAAATTATGTGATGCCAAAGTGAAAATTTATGTTTGTGGAACTGCTCAGCAACCTTGATATATTCGGGAGGGATATCAGAAAAATCAAGAACTTATACAAACAGCATGCATAGGGAACGAGTTCAGTGAATATACAAAAATAGACAGAGGGTGGGGGGGTAAGGCAAAGAGGCGTCTTCGCACACGATCTGTTCAACCTATGCAGCGAGGCAATTCTGAGAGAATTGGAAACCCTACCGGGATTTAACATAGGCAGCCACAATCTTAACAATATAAGATACGCAGACGACACAATACTGATAGCAGACACGGAAGAGAAATTACAAAATCTCCTTCAGAAGGTAGAGGCGGAGAGTGAGAAGAAAGGACTAAGCACAAACAACAAGAAGACAGAATGCATGGTCATCTGTAAGAGGATGAGCCCGAAATGCGATTTTCAGGTCGAGAACACTAGAATCAAGCAGACGCGGAAGTTTAAATATCTGGAAAGCGTCTTGATAGAGGACGGTCAGTGCGACACTGAGATCCGTAGACGTATTGGAATGGCCAAGGACACATTCTAAAATCTGAGCAGAATATTGCGAGACAGTAGAATTTCTTTGGTAACAAAGAAAAAAATACTGAGCTTTTACGTGACATCTGTTCTTCTTTACGGCAGCAAACGTGGACGATTTCCTCAAAGATGAAGAAGAGACTCTTGGCGACAGAGATGCGGTTCTACAGAAGGATGTTAAGGATAACAGGGGCCGTGCATGCGAGAAACGATGAGGTCTTAGAGAGGTTACAAACAAGGAGAAGGCTTAATATCAGAAAGAGGCAGCTGAAATTTCTGGGACATATAAAGAGGCCTGGAGAATCTGATACTCACGGGTCGAATAGAGGGAAAGAGAGACAAGGGAAAGCAGCGCGTGACATATCTGATGAGCTTGAGCAGGTGGATGACAGAATGTGGTCTGGGGGAGGAGGCAGAGGGAAGGGACTTGCTGAGAGCTGCAAGGGATTGAGGGAGGTGGAGAACCAGGATCGCCAACGTCCTGAAAGGACATGGCACATAAAAAGAAAAGTAAAATAAACAAGAATATCCCAAATATAAATAAAGCTAACTCGAAACTAAAATAAAAAATCCATCTATACGCAACCTGCTCTTATGAATTACTAATGCGATATTCCGTTATTATGGTGTGTTCACATTCTTTTAGGTGCTTGATACAATTTGAGTTTTCATAATCGGCGAGGAACAGCCTTTTCTTAACATACGATAAACGCAGTTGTCTAAATAAAAGTGGTGTAGGAAAACCATTTAAAGCGATAAAACCGCGGTATCTTACGAGTTCGGAATATTTCATCAGGAAAAAAATTCTCCCCTCCCAATGTTATTCGAGTAATGGATCATTTTCCAATAATAACAGAATATCTCATTACTAAACAGGAGAGATCAGAATACATGTCTGATAAATATATAAAGTGACAGAGTTACCTGGGTTTTGTCATAATAAAGATAAATATTTCGTTGTATAGCTTATTAAAATTACTGTGGAGAGTAAGCGGTCGTAAATTTATTACCTTAAGTTGATTTATCTCGTATCCAAAGATAGAACGTGACACGAAAGATATAAACACAACGGTAATTATTATATAGTGTTGTTATTTTTATCTT